TCTGAAGGCCACGAGGGAGGGGGCGCACCGGACCTCGGGAGGCAAGATGTTCCATAGGGCGGGGGCCACAGCAGAAAAGGCCCTCTGCCTAGACCCCCGCAGTCGGAATTCCTTGACCGGTGGGGTCTGCAACCTGCCCCTTCTGCTGGACCGAGTGGGGCGGGCTGAAACAACCGGGGCGAGACGGTTCCTCAGATCCCCTCAGATTTTTCTGACGCCATTTCCAAAGAATGGATTATTTGGAGGGATAGCAATTCAGAAGTCGCCTTTTTACTGATTTAATGCTTCTGAGAATCCAAAGCCCTTCACAAACCTTTTGTCATCCTGCAACACTTCCAACAGGATTTGGCAATGGCAAACACCAGAGCCCCGACTGACTTCATCCGAGGCCCCAGATTAATAAAAAAATCAATATATTTTTTAAAGCGGCCAAAAACTTGCAAAATCATCCAAATCTCGTGCAATTTCGGTGAGAAATTCAAACTCACGCGTCAGAGTCGAGATGAATGAAATCATGTAAGACGATGTTTTTCAACCTTGGCAACTTGAAGATGGGTGGACTTCAACTCCCAGAATTCCTCAGCCAGCATGCTAGCTGGGGAATTCTGGGAGTTGAAGTCCACACCGCTTAAAGCGCCCACGGTTGAGAAACACTGATCTAGTGTGATTGGCATCTTCCATTTTCTGGAAGATAGAAAAAACATTCTGACTGTAAAAAGAGAATATTTGTTTTGGGGTAGCTTTATCCTTTCCCTTCCAAGCCACTTGATGTGTCCCAGTTTTGAAGGGTCCCAAGCAAGGAGGGTCAAAACAGTCAAGATGGCGTCCGTGACTGCCCAAAGCCCTGCCCCTTTTTTACATGGGTTCACCTGCAAGACATGTAAAAAAAGAGTGTGACTTCGGTCCCAAGTACCCACTTGACTTTTTTGACCCCTCCTTGTGAATGCCCCTGGTCTTGGCCATAATCGTGGGATTAGATTTTACTTATGGCTATAAAAATATAGTTTCTGTACATAGAAAGTAGAGTTTCCCGGTCTAATACCCTTCAGATAGCATTGTACATTTTCGTATCAAACTCTCTGTGCTATTTCGGCAAAATCTGATCATAACCACCTAAAGTTGAGTAACAAAAATGAATTAGAAGTGTGCATGCTTTTACATAAAATGTAAACATTTTTGGCCTCTTCAACTCCATTTTTTTTCCCGCAGTACCTGATCAACATGCACTATAGGATAATAATAATATTATTCATGCACGTGGAAATTAAATTTGAAAGTAATAGAACTGTTATTATTAAAATTTCTCTGTACAGTGACCTAACCTGAGCTCAACTTGTCATGAGAATATTAATTCAAACTACATTATAAAAGTAAACAAGAAATAGGAAGCAGCAATACTTTTTATAACGGTCTGCCCACAATTTGGGAGAGCTGAGGGTTTTTTTTAACGTGTGTGAATTTAATAATGCATCCAGTAAGTCAAACTAGCGCACGCTGGGGGGCGTCGGGAGCCGTCGCAGCTGTGCCCTCTGTGGCGCCACCCTCCGTCGAAAACGGGAAGACCCAGAACCGCATTCTTACACCCCTCTCTTTTTTTCCGCGATTCTTTCAGAATCCAGCAACCTGGATGGTGACAACAAGCCCTTCCGTGCGGCAGCGGACGCCGCGGTTCCCTTTGCAGCCGTGACGACAGCGGGAGCCGCTCAGAAGGAAAGCCGAGCCCAGCCGGCCCCGGCTTCGAAGAAGGCTTGTTGGCTGAGCCCCCCTTCCCCCCTGAGACTGGCCGATGTCCCCGATCACATTTCCGATGACTCCTCCTCCGTCCATGCCATTTCCCTTACGTCGTGTGTCACGAAGGGCATGAGTGCCTGGTCCCTGCCGGGCGACTGCGAGAAAGCGCCCTTCTCCATGATGGAGCCGGGGAGCATGTCCGCCCTCACCGGCGACTGTTTGATGCAGCCGAGTCGGACCTGCCTGGGCTGCTTTATTGAGTCGAAGGACAGCATGGATCCAGAACCCGGGATCAGCCTAAAAGTGGGCGATATAAATAGGGATTACGACACCTGTTCGGTCTCCGACATCGGGATTCACTGCATGAGTACAGGAGAGACCATGCGGTACGGAGACCAGCTCCTTTCAGACCAGCTTTTGAGCTTCCCGATGCATAAATCAAGGGCGGCGGACAAAAGGGAGACGGAGAAATCTGACAGCGATTCGGAGGATCCCACTCAGAAAAATTATTACGAGGGGTTACTTTTGGACAAGTGCAATGGGGAGGAGCCTTTACTAACGAATCCCAACCAGGAATGGGGTTATTTTGAATCTTTCATTAGTGAAAGCAAAATTGAGCTGCTTGACCTTTGCTCCAAAAACGAGCTGTCTGTAAATCTGTTTTCTGAGGAGGATGTGGATAATTACATGTTTGATGACGATGATTCAACCTTGGGAAGTGACGTCTGCTCTTTAAAGATTCGTTATGAATCTTTCCAGGACAATGTGAGGGAGAAGACTGGAGCCCTGCAAGAGGACACCCAGTTTAACTTCTTCCCCAGTGTGTTTAGTGGATGTCCAAAAAGGGACAGTAGGACAGCTTTGAAGAGGGGACCTCGAGGGGCAACGGATCCTTCCCAATTCAAATCTGAGGAGACCATCATCTGGGGGGAAGAGGAGGTTGATGGACAGCAGGAGGAGGAAGAAGAGGAGGAGGAGGAGGAGGAAGAGGAGGGGGGTGAAAGTGAGAAAGTTGCCTTAAACAAATCTTGCACCGGTACGGAAGTAGTACAGTACATCAGTCCCAAAAGAAATCACTTCTTGGAACTGGTGAATTCCACAGAGGACTCTGGGGAATTCAGTGATGACAGCACCTGCACCGAATCGTCCTTCGATGTGCTTCAAGACCTGAAGGACTGCAACAAATATCTTCCCCGGGACCACTCCAGTTCCTTCATCCAACAGAACTACGGTCTGCGAGCAAAAAGGAAAGTGCGATATAGCGAAGATTACCTTTACGACGTGGATTCCATCGAGAGTGAGAAAATCATGGATAAGAAGGAGTGGATTCCTGATGGTCCCAAGGAAGAAGACGACGATGACTGGTGTCCAAAGAAGAGGCGAAAAGTTTCCCGCAAGGAGCCCCCTGTCATCATCAAGTACATCATCATCAACCGGTTCAAAGGAGAGAAGCACATGTTGGTCAAGCTTAGCAAAGTAGATGCCAGTGAGACAACGGTGACCTTAAGCGAGGAGTTGTTGAGCAAATACGCCAAGTTGGCCCCTCTGAAGTCGTTTTGGCAAGAGAGGTGGCAGAGCCGGCTCAACTTCCTCAAATCCGCGCTCTACCACAAGCAGAGTTTCTATCTCAACGGCTCCGAGGTGGCCTTCCTGCCCCACCCACGGAAGCGCAAGGGCAAGATAGCCCACCGGCACCGGATTCAGAGGATTAAGGCCATCGAGCAGCCCGTGGGCAAGGCGGGCTCCTGCACGCCCGACGCCAAGCAGCTCTGTTGCAGGATCGGAGATGACGGCGGGGGCCTGAAAGGGATCCAGGCCATGGCCATCGCAGCCCCCAGCTGTGTGAACGGCATCCATCTGAACGACATCGCCGGCCTGGCCTTACCTCCGGGCAAGGCCCAGGAGAGGGAATTCAAAGGTCCCGAGAGAAAAGTCTTGCGCAGGATCAAATTCAAAAGCGAAGCCAGGCTGAAATGCAAGCGACTCAAAGCCGCCACCGGTCTGGCGGAGGTTTCTGCAGCCTTGGAGAATCCAGAGCTGGCGACGGGGTTAAAGGATGAAAGCGCTCCTTGTGCTGTAGACGGCTCCCCTCTCGCTGAGTGCCAGGAGGATAAGCTGGCTAAAAATGCTCTTTCTTTCCTACCCACCACCTGCGCGTCAGACAAGCCACCTCCATCTGCCAGCCTCGCGGCCAGCGTGCCCCTCATCCCTGGCGGATACCTGCAGACTTTGCTGGATGCCTCCGACTTGTCCAACAGCACTGGGATCACTTACTTCAGCCCCCCCGCCTCGGAGCAGCAGCAGCAGCAGCAGCAGGAGACCCTCCCGGGCCTCGTTCAAGCAGAGAAGTCCTTCTGCGCCTTGCAGCCCGCCCAAAGCTGCATTTTGTCCCCACCGTCGGAGTCGGAGTTGCAGCAGTCGCCAAGCCCCTTGGAAATCGAGCCGAGCAACTTCCAAAGCGTTTGGCCGGCTGGCAAAGCTGGCAGCCCAAACGGTCAGGGCTTTGCTGGGCAGCTCCAGGACGCCTCCGTGCTTTCAGCCGTAGAGTTTGGCAGCTGTGCGGGGGTGGACGGCCTCCCAGCCTCTGGATACAGTCAGGTCCATCTGAGCGGCAGCAAATTATTATACCAAAAAAAATACACCCCAGAGAGCCAGCAGTTGCAGTCAGATGACTCCTACCAGTCCTGTCCTTTCAGTAACAGAGAGGGGAATTTTCACTTCCAGCGGGGCACACTCAGCACCGATGACGGGAGGCTGGTGAGTTTTGATTCGGTGGGCTCCCTGTCCGCCAGCTCTAGCAATTACAGCTCCTTGAGTTTGAAGTCTTGTGAAAAGGATGGAGATGATGACATTGCTGATGATTTCTTGGCCCACTGCAGCCCCAAACTGGTGATTCAGCAAAGCATTGATGAAATAACGCCGTTGAAGGAGTCAACCGATCTTCTAGATATTTCTAACTTCACCCCAGATAAGTTCCGCCAGTCGTCCCTTTCGGAAATGTCTCCCCCAGATACCCCTAACCTTTCCCCACAGATAACCGGGCCAGAAACTAAAACCCTGGGAAATATGAAGTGTTTCCCGGACAGCTCACAAGTCGTGTTAAGCAACCCTGAGAAGGTCAAGTGGGGCTGTGGCGTTCTCCAAGCTCCAGATCAGGCCGATAATGGATTCACTTTAAATAATCATCAGTTTCAGTTCCATATGTTCACCGATGAGGATTCTGTCAGCCTCCTTGAAAAAACCCCATCCTTGTCAACTTTTAATGAGCCATCTGCCCAAGTTAGCACCAATAGTAAAGCGTCAAAATCCAAGAGGAGAAGTTCATCTAATAAAAATTTGGGTGCCAACCAAAGCCCGCCCCAGAAAAGCGTTCGGAAAAAATCCCCCAAAGCCAACAAAGGGTCTGAAAAGCCACCCAGCAGAAATTCCAGGCAGTCTCCCAAAACTTCAAGGAAAGGGAAAAATGGGGCAGGGGTTAATGGAGAAAAGACCCCTGTCATGGGGGATCGAGCAGCTGGTCTCTTGAACAGTTCCAGCTCCTCGGCAAAAGCGTTGGTCGAATCCATACAGCAGGGCAGCCCAAATGCCGTCCGAATAGGGAAGCCCAACGGGTTGCCTGGCGAATGGCCGCTGGGGAAGGACAATAGCGGTGGCTGGTCCGAAACCAGCCTAGGAAGTGCCAACAGCCTTCTGGATGATGATCAAAGAGAATTTGAGGAGCCGTCCAACATTTTATCAAACATTGCATCTGGCATGGCAGATGTTCAGAGGTTTATGATGGCCTCCATCGAGCCCTTGTGGGGGCCTGTCGGCCACAGCGACGTCTCTGATCTCTTCCGATCCCCTGAATCAAACAGCCTGAAACTGAAAACCCTTAAGATCCTGGCCGGCACGTCTCCAGAGTCCAAGAAGAAGGTCAACGGCAGTTCTTCGGGAACAGGGAGGAATCACAAATCGGGGAACAAGGGCTTGAGTAAAACCAGCAGCCGAGCTGCTCCGTGCGATCCCGGACGCTCCAATTCATCCGCCGGGTACCCTGCAGACATTCATTCTCCTTTTTTTGATAAAAGCTATAGTAATCTGAGCACTTTAGCCAAAAATGAACCTACCCATAAAAAGCTCTACCGACACAAATCCACGTCGAAGTCACTGCGAGATGAGAACTGTAAAGTCAAGCGAGCAGAAAGGGAGCAGGGCCACAAAGACGCTTCTACAGTAGTTTCCTTTGAAAAACTGAGGTAATACTACACCAAGCTGGCTGGAATGCACCCTAACTTTCTTGCTCCCGCTAAGGCCATCCCTGCTCATATTTTCCTACTTGGGAAACCAGAATTGCATGAAAGAGACATTCCCCTTTTACAGGTCTTTTTTCGTTGTCGTTGTTGTTCTTGGTTTTGTTCTCAACGTGCATGAAAATACTTATTTCTTGCAAGCTACTTAAAAAGAATGACTTTTTTTTCTGGCTTGGCTGGGGTTAAACACCGACTAACAAAGCTGTTCCTTTTTCTTGCTGTTTGGCTTCTTCTGATTTTAATTCCTTTATTTATTTTTAAAGGGTTAATCCTGTGCTCTTTTTTAATGGTTTGGAAAAAGAGAGGGGGGGGGAAGACTTCTGGGGAGGGGGGAGCCTTTTGTAAAAAATAAAACACACAAAAAGAGATGCGTCCCCCAAAGCTGAGATGTTAAAGGGTCTTTTATGTTTGCAGAAATCCCAGTTCATCCCTAGTTGAGTGCCATGAGATTATGACGAGTGCTTTTTACCCCCCGTCCGCCGCTGTTTATATCCTAACCTGCACCATAGAGCTACATCTTTCAAAAAAACAGCCTCTCTGATTCCACACAAGTTAAAATGTTTGGTTTTTCTGCAGGGATACAGACTACATTCTTCTTAAGGCAGAAACAGCATTTGGGGTTTTACCTGTATTTGAAGAAGAGCTGCCTTTTCTAGAAAGAAGTTTGAAGTTTGCTTGGTTCCCCCCCCCTCTTCCCCCCCCTTGTTTTCCCCACATCTTTCTTTTGCTCGAAAAGAAAAAAAAAAGAAATGTAATGCCTTGTCATACGTCCGAGTGTTAAGTGCTGAAACCGAAAGTTTGAAGTCGTGGGACTTCTAGGCTTTGGAAGCAAATCTCCCCCCGTATTCCCCGTTTCCAAAGCTCTACTCTTGTATGGTAATTGCTGCACTATGACCCACAAACCACCCCGCAAATTGTGCCAAACTCCGAACAAGTGTTGTACTGTACATATTTTTACATCTCTTCTGGGTCGTGAATGTTTGGTGGTGTTTTTTTTCCCTCCCCCCCTTTTCGGTTTACGATAAACGCTCCGGTGAAACAGTTGGCCAAACTCTCTGAGGAAGCCACCGCTGCAGAAAGGGTGTGGATCTGTTGGCTCCCGAGGGACTGAATGTTGTATGGACCTACCTGAGTATCTGTGCCAAATTGACTTACCTCATCGAAGGGATGTTTCTCTGTGGTTTACAACTCCAAAAGAGGTGGGGAGAAAGCGGGGGGAGGCTTTGGAAGGAAGAATGGGGAAAGCTGGGCCCTCTCCAAAATCTGAACGAGTACTTAAAAAAAAAAAGAGAGAGTACAAATAATAATAATAATAATAATAATAATAAATAATAATAATACCAACACCAACACCAACTCAAGGTAACATTACTGGAAATCCAAGCGACTGCATTTAGTGGTTTTAAAAGCAGCTGTTTTTCTATCACCTGTTTTATTTCGAGCAAAGCTTCCAGCGGAAGATAATTTCAAAAGCAAAGCTGTACTGTTGGCACTTTGTATCAGTTTTCTATATTTTGTAATACAACCTGGGAATTTTAGAAAAAAAAAAAGCCGTCAGAAAAACCAGAGCGATACATTTCATAGACACTATATTGATATTTCATTTTGAGCTGTTTTGTAACCATTTTTATGCTCCTCGTAGCAGGAAAACTCACTGACTCAAAATATGATGTTTTCTAAATGTTTTAACCTTTGCAATGACAATATTATTTGAAGGTTTGTAAAAAATGAATCAAATGTAATTGTTAATGCAGTTCTGGATGTATGTCAGCCTTCTCGACCTTCCAAGATACGTTGAGTCAACCTCCCATCATCCCTAACGGTGAATGTCCGGGAATGTTGGGGGCTGTAGTCAACACATCCAGAGGGGCACAGATGGGGATGGGGGTAG